CATCAGAAGAATCGGCTTCATCAAAAGACTCGCCTACAGAGTCTGCAGGTAAGGATGGCGCGTGCAGCAGGGAAGGAGGAAGGCTCTCGTATGGCAGGATTAAGTGATCTCTATGTAATTACTGGTAGAGGGCCTTGAGTAATGCCCTAGACTACTTCCTTTAGTAACGCAGTTACTCCAGGGAAGCTGTAGCCCCTGCCCTTGGCGAGAATGTGTACGGACCGTAAAGGACACGTATGAGCTGCAGGCAGTGCGTGAGGTGGATGCAGCCCAGAAGAAAGGGCAACCCTCAGAAGCGTCCTGAGAGGAAACAGCTGCTGGGCAGGCTCTGGCCTGGGCACACAAGGCTGGAGGCCTCGGTCGTCTGCATCTGTGGAACATGAGGCCCTCTCTAGGCCACCAGCAATTCTAGCTTCTCCCACCTAATTGTACTGGCTTACACCAGCTCGCTTCAAAAACCAACCCCCCTGCCCTGCCGTACTCTTTCAGAGAGCACGTGCTAAGTCTCTGGAGCACATTCCCCAGACCCGCCGTTGATGATAACGGTGTTTTGGCTTGCTAGCATCTGATTTCTGACTGCTGGGAAGTTTATTCAAAGTCTGTGCTATACAGTCAGTTGATTTCACCACGTACTCCTTCCTCCTGTCCCTTTCATGTGATAGAACTGTAATTAATACTCACCATTTAGCAAAGAGGAAACTCGTATTTATTCTCTGTTATATGCCAGAGCTGTAGTGATCCTTGTCGTTACAGCTAAGGGTTTTCCTACAGCTTTAAATAATGAGAAAAAATGGCCATCCTGCAATATTCTCTTCAGAGCAATTTAAAATAAGTAGTCTTACAGGTACAGACTCCCAGAGCAGTGATGCTGGTGAAAGAGAAAATACCAACTTGTTTGACTTCACTGCTGCCTTTTTTTTTTGTGTTGGAAGGATCTTCGAGTTCACCAACAGATGAAGACATGGAGACGGATGCAGTCAACGAAATCCTAGAGGATATTCCTGAACATGAAGAGGATTATCTGGATTTAACACTGGAGGAAGAGGAACAGATCATCCATGAATACTTATCCTATATACAAGTACCACAGCATTAAATCCCATTACATCTACTTCAGTTGTGTGTATTTACCTTGACAAATTGAGTTTGGATTATAAACGCACCTTCAGCTTATCTTACTAAACGCCTTGAACTCAGTTACACTATAGGTAGAAGACTTAACTCCTGCTTATTTATAAATCTGCTTAAAGCCTACATTTGTGATACATTGTAATTTATTGTCATAGCAGAAAAATAGAAACATTTATTTTCAGAAGAAAATTTAATAGAACTAAACTATATTTTTGTGAAATAAGTTAATTCACTTAGTATTCAAGTAAAGAAGCATTTCTATACCATTTTAAAATACCAGCTTTAAAAAAAAAAAGTGAGTTTGTAAGTCAGAAAGCTAGCTCGTGAGGTTATAGAGGTATCAGCTGTTCGCCTTTGCTTCTGGAAGATTTCTAAGAGACATTGATGTATCTGTTGTGCATGGATTTCTACTGTGTTCTGCTTGTCACTTCCTGCAGGTGTTACACAGGCAATAAAGAAAACTATACGCTGCTGCTGCTTTTCCTAAGAGTCTTCTGTACTGTGGTTTTAAAAACTAGGAGCAGCTACCTGGCAGGGCCCTGTCCGGTCAGACCCCAGTGACCTGTGCAGTGGCGTTTCCTTTTACAACTAAATAACCGGTTTCCCCACACAACTCTTAACCTCTTGCAGGTACGTGGCTTAAATTGGGTGGATTTCATGGGTACTACATGATTTTCTTTAATTACCTGTTGAAGAAAACTTGGTTGAGACACTGTCTCTTATTTTACCCAGCTTCAGCGTTCTGGAGAAATAGTTGGGGGAGATTGTGTGTGTTTTATAGCAGCCTCTCTTCTGCACTCCTCTTCCCCGGGAACAGAACTTCTTCTCCTGCTTGTCAGCTTGCCCTGAGCGTCGTTCTTTCCTTTCCAATGCTCCCGTCTGACGGCAGAGGGAGCTCATGCCCCAGGCGCGGAGCTGGAGGGGCCGGGCCCGGGGCGCGGGCAGGGAGCGAGGCCCAAGAGCCGCAGCTGGAAAATGAACCTTCTGCCTGGTGACAGATTGTCCTTGCCCAGCATTTATCGGTGGCGAAATGAGGGCTTGAACTGTGTTGATACTGGAGGAACTGGAGCTTTGGCCTGCAAGACGACTCCTCAGTTCCAGCAGATGGACTTCACAGGCTTCAGCAGGGGATTTTTTAGAATTTTTTTTTCTTGCCTACTTTGGTCAAGGACAGCAAAAAGCAAGGACTGATTACACTCTTCAGGACCTATTTGTATGTCATACTTCTGTATCAAGGCAAGTGCTATAAAAATTGAGTTGTTTGTATCTTGTACCAGAAGGCTGAAGCATTTCTAAAGCCAGAAATCTAAGCTTCTGAACGGGAAAAAAAACCAAACCAGCCCCAGCAACCATTATACCCTGTGTCTCTACAGGCAAGGACTGAGGAACCACTGGACAAAATACAGAGCAAAATGAGAATATTCAAAAGACTAAAATTGAAAACATACCAAGCAATGGATGTACTTCTACAAAAAAGTAGGTGGGAAAGCACAAATGTATTCCTTCCTTTAGCCAGAGGGGTTCCCAAACCTGGCATTACTTGATGCTAGCCCAAAGGCAGCACTGGGCTGTGCAGGCAGGATTTCTCCTCTTTGAAGTGGCTTACACAGCAAACTGGCAGTGACAGCTTAAGAAGCAAAGGTTTGTCCTTGGGGAAACTTAGAATTAGCATCATAAGACACAGCGCTTGTCAGGGAAGCCACTCCTTAATGATATAATTCTGCCAGCATAACTGTGTGCAGTTTTAAGTGATTAGCAGGGCAGGAGGCAAGAGCTAAAAGCTTTAAGTAAGTCAATTTTAACTATGCATTTGGAGACACCGATATGTTTAGCAACAGGCAGAAGTGGTAACGGCTCATTAATTCCACCCTTTACGAGATCTATGTCTATTCAATCCATTTGCTAATTCCATCTGCAGCTGCTGTATGGCCAGACGTGTCTAACATACTGTGTGCAAAGTTTTAAACAAAAGGTAGAGCCTGGACCATCTGTGCAACTCCATCAGTCTCTGCCAAAGGCTTCCTACTTGGCACTGCCCTCCTCAGCACAATACCAACAAAATTAGCTGCATAGCGAGCCATCACCCCAGCAACCAAGAGGCACCATCTCACACACGTTTCTCACGGGGCCACTACCGAGCTACAGTGACCAGATCGAGAGGTTTACGGTGGAATTAAGCCTACGCTATGCAGATGATCTCCCAAATTAGTCTCTCATGGTAGGCATTTAACATAATTAAAATGCTGTTTCCTGCTAGCTGTGGAAACCTACCAAGGGAGAGCTAAGGAAGCTGCTCGACAGGAGAGGTAGGCAGGGTACAGAGCAGCAATGACACAGCGTTAACAGTTTCAGAGCAGGCGTCATCAGTGCCACCAGGACGAGCACTGAGCCAACATCTGCGGGTTTATGTTGTCTGTATTTTCCCTTAAGGCTGGGCTTTGGGTTGTAGCTCACCACCCCTTCTCCTGACTAGGAAAACTGAGCTCTGGCAGGCTGGTGCCTGGTGGGAGGCAAGACAGAGCTCTGTGGCGTCCCTGACTCCAGCCCCAGCAGTGAGGGAAAGGCAAGAAATATTTACAAAAGTACGTGTTTGTTTTCCTATATTGCAGCCATTCTTAACTGCTGTGCAGCTGCAGCCAGCCAAATTCCCTCTAAATAAGAAAATAAAAACTAAGCAGCTAGTTGGGTGTAGATGCCACATGTTTATTAGTCCATTTAAAAAAAAGGGTTTCAGCATTTTTATCTTGCTGTAGTACAGAATAAATAAAGACATAAAAATAGAAACATGTGGTTACATATTTTTGTACTGGTTCTACAAAGAGTTGTATCTGCAAATAGAAAAATAGAAGAACCCTTGTTTACTCATGGCTCAGTGGCTATCAGAGAGGAGGAACCTGGAAAAAGACTGGGAGGAACTTCTCTTGTTTGATTGCCTCATGCTAACAACCCAGCAAACCAAGGCCACACGTGGCACGCAGTAAATCCTTCTGTTTTGCCCTCCTCTCCTCTGAATAAACACCACTGGACATCCCCAGGGGCTAGAAGGAAAACCTTTCCCCCGTGAAGACAGTGAAGCAGGGGGCCAGGCTGCTCAGAGAGGTGCTGTGGTCACCGCTGCAGACCCAGGGATGAGTGAACAGGTGCTGCAGCACAAGGAAGACACAGGTGAGGCCACTGATGCCTCCTTTGCTCGGTGTGAGATTGTAAGAGGTAAAAAAGGAACCTGCTAGGCTGTTGGGAGGAGGACAACTGCTGTGCCTTGGCAAAGAGCTCATCTTGGTGCAAAAGGTCTGAGGTTTAGCTTCTTCTCTAGCTTACATTTTGTCAAACAAAATAAAAAACAAAAAATTAAATTCTGTCCTTCTACTCACAGCTTTAAACTTCTGCTGCTGAGCCATACCCTCCCACATTAGCTGGGCTGATCAGCAAAAAATGACCCAAAGGTCAGCTGTGAAAACTGCTTCACAGCGGCATTGCAGGGCCCCTTTCATTGCTACATTTGGCTGAACAGAGGGTGTGCAAGCGGGCAACAGGAACGGAGAAAACATTTCTCATTAGGTACTAGACAGGCACAAGTGTGCAACACCTCTGGGCCAGAGGGAATTGAAAACAGTTGTAAGTAAAATTCCTAATTAGACACACCCCGAGGTACGTCACCTGAACCACACTGCAGTCCTTCCTGACCCCAGTGCTGCTCGGCTCAGTCATCAGCAGCGACAATATCTGACCCAAGTCCATCTGACAGTCACGGAGAATCCGTTCAGGCAAAGCCGTTTCCCATCTCTTCCCAGGTTCTGGTTTATGTGGACACAGTGGTGCAGAAAACAAAAGGTTCAGCTTTGGTCACCAATGGAAAGTGTTCTGGACAGTCACATTAGCTCTACGGCCTCGTGTTCCCCATTTTCTTGCTGTACCATACAGCCAACTTTATTGTTGAAGAGACGAGACAGGCTTCCCTTCTGAGAGCTCCTGCCCTGCACAGACCTCTCCTTCTTCAAACGCCGCTTATTTCTCTTGCAGATTCCGCGGATGTCCCAAATCCTTAGCGTGCCATCATGGGAAGCCGTGTAAAGCAACTCGTTGTGGATCTGGAACAACAGGGTCACGTTTAATACCAAACTGTACAGCTTGGAATCGGCACAGTTGAACTGTCAAAAATCAGAGCAAACACAGCTTGATCCTAACACTTAAGGCCTGATGGCTCAGTCCAAGAGCCAGTATAAATTATCACAAAAGCTGCTGAAGTGGGATGAGACATTACCAAGTCAGGACTCATTTCTCAGCCACTTCACAGAGCCATAAAATATAAACAGCAAGAGTTATTTATAACCTAAACCCACTAGAAAAGCAGTGGAGAACTAAACTCAATGTAGGCTGTAGGTGGGAATTTCTGTGCTGGTTTCAGACTGCTGGTTTTGAAGATGAAGATTAAGGAGGCACCAAAATCAGCATCAGCAAGCCCTGGGGGCGGGGCGTGCAGGAGCACTTTCCTTCTCACTTCCCTTCTTCCCTTGCGTTAAGTTACAGGTAAACTTTCTCCCTCAAAATTAGTTGTTCTCCCAGACCTGCAGTAATTGACTCCCCAGGCCTGCAGTTCCCTTTACTTTATGGAACTCATTTCCATTTGCTGCTGTTGCAGTGTTTCTGACCGTCCTCACCCCACCTTAGAAGCCAGACGTTCTTCCCCTTCCTGCGTGAGCCTGTCCACCACGGGCACTCGCGTTCTCCAGAGGCAGACAGACGGGGAGAGCGAGCACCGACCAGCAGTCTTCCTTACGTCAGCGGGAAGCACCACACAACCACACACCCCTTAGCCCTCAGTAATACATCCAGGTTGCCACTTCTCAGTCCTCTCTCATCCCAGGATATTTTGCCCCATGCACTTGGAAATAAAATTACCCACAAAGAAAAAAAAAATATCCAAAGCCAAGCTTTAATCTTGTCAATACTTAGGGCTGCCCAGAGTGATTGTATCAGTTATTGCCCAAATACATCCAGGTGACCATCTGCTACACAACCAATTGCTCAACACCAAACAGTTTGCAGCTGAAGACCAATTAGCCACTGGCTAATTCAGAAAAATATACAAAAGACAGCCGTATTTACACCTCTCTGCGCTTGAGATCAACTTCCACAGGAATTTTATCCACTTGCTTTTTTCTTTCTACTGTTAGCCTGCCAGAAACTCTTCCAGTGTTTCACGTTTTTCATCAGAAATCCTCATCCTGCATGCAGCTTTTACTGAGAGCCTGATGCAGGGAGATCTGGATTCTTAAATGCACAAAGTATCCAAGGATTCAAACTCTTCCCCCAGCATTCCTTGCATGATACTGATCTCTGCATTGCCACCAAGGATTACCAATTCCTCTGCTTTTAACATTTAAATGGCAGTATCCTTTGAGCCCAGGCAACTTTTATGGGGACTTAATTAACTTTTAGAAAAATTTTTAAGCCAGTGGCAGAGTCTTCCATTTGTCTGGTAGCATGTCAGTCAGGCATCAACGCAGAGCTTCTTTGTCATATTTATACCTTCAGAAAAATTGATCCTGATGGCAACATTTTACGTGAACAGTTATATACAGGGTAGCTCTTCACTAAGATGAGCAGTGATGGTGAGCAGCTCCCAGGCTGTTGAGGGATACCATGCCCAGGGGGCTGTGGGGATAATGCTGTGTATTATTCTGCTTGGATAAGGCAGAAACTTCTTCTGGGCCTGGAGCAGCGCAGACACTTACCATCTCTGTCTTGTAACAGAAGGGATCTCAGGAGGGCAGAACCTATTCCCCGCCCCTACAGAGGGTCAGTTAACATCCGTCTCATTTCTTATGGTTGCTTGTCTAACCCAACCTGAAAAATCTCCAATCACAGACGTAAGACTATCTCTGGGGACTCATTCTGTGGTTTCACTTACCCTTATTATTATGGAGTTGTTCTAAAATTACAAAGGGAATATTCAAGTCTGTTACTTTTTGCCTTGCCCTAGAACAACATCCAACCCAAGACACATGGGTCAGCTACCACCCCAATTCCCACAAAACAAATCACAAGTGAGAAATCCCAGCAAAGAAACCCCTTCCTGACCTGGATACAGTTGATGATGAACTTGTGTCCTCGGAAGATCTTCTGCAGGACACCACTCTTGGAATTGAAAGCTCTGGCACAGGCATCGCCGCTTCCTGTGAACACTGCAACGCAACCACACAGCACAGCAAACGGCCAGATATGAGCAGCCACACAAGGTCAGTTCATGCGAGTTTAGCTAAAACTAGTTCACAAAGGGGTGTATCATTTTTAGCAGAGATTCTGTTCACGGTTTCAGAAGGGTCAGATCATTTTCATTTCGCTGACCCCAGCATGTTTGCTTTCATTTGTATTTTTCAAAACCGTGAGCTGCCTTAAGCCTGAAGTTCCTACACACATCAGCATTTCACTCCACACAGAAGTATCCATTCTTGCCCTTCTCCTCGACGTATGTTCCCTGCCTAAGCACATCTCAGTAATTTTAAACAAGCGATTTCTCAGGTCTGGTTTTAAGGAATTCCACTAAGCCTTCCATTTGTTTTACCATGGTTATTTCCAGGTTTCCATTGAGTACTACAGTATCCTCATCACTTCTGCTGCTGCATCAAACAGCAAAAGCATTTGTACAGTGGAGCTGCAAACCACAGTCAACCACCTCACACACTAATAACACAAATTTATCCTTAGCTTCATTAAAATGTGCCCTTTCTCCCGCCCCATTTTCAACCATAAGCTTATTATCAGTAGGTAGGGCCGTCTCAGTTGAAATACCACAGTTAAATCTTCTGTCCTCAGAGGCAAGGGGCATGTGTAGGCAGCTTTACAAAGCAGCTTTATGATTTCTTTCACTGTGGTAGATTTCTTCAGCTAAATCCTGTAGCTCAGAATCTTTGCACACTGTAGAGCCTTTAAGTGATTCAAGGCCCAGGCTATAATCTCCGTTTGAGTATGGCACAGAAGTATTTGAGGGTTTTGGCTGTAACTCTTGGACTCTATGTGCTACATCGAATATGTGCTACAAGAGGCAGGACGGTTAAGTAAAGGAAGCATGACCAGGGATTTTGGTTGTTCATGGGGTTTCTTAGGGTATCTTAACGTGTTCGAAGAACAACTTCTTAATGCTTCAGAATCTTCACGTCAGATCCCCAGAACTGCTGCATCTGGAAACTGCAAGGCAGTGTTGAATACTAAAGATTTTATACTTAGCAATAGGCCCAAAAAGGAGCATATTTGTGTGCTTTAAGGGTTACAAACTGTCTTCATAAACACCCACTTTCCTTCACTTAACCCAAACTCCTGAAGTTTATCTACAGATAACTACTTCAGAACTGCACAAAGCAATACAGTCACTGCTGCCTGCACTTCACGTCTTTGCAAAAACCACTAGCAGGGAAAGATTTTTACAAAACCAAAATGGCCAAAGACAACAGATTCCTTATATCTTTTGGGAGAAGTCAGGCACTGGATTCCTAAAGAGAGGTGAAGAAATTACCACGGCAGTAAATTCAGGACTATAACAAGAGATGAGAGAACAGGTCACCTCCTGCCGTCAGCTTTTCAACTTCCAATTAAACAGCAGGAGGCTGGGTACTTCCAGGGGCACACCTTTAAGAAACATCTGGATGTGGAAAATCAATGGCATTTTATACGGGCCACTATAAATTCAATTGCCAACACAATCCTGAAAAAAGCATCGCATCCCATTCCGCAAACGAATAAAACAACGTAAAGCAGGGAACAAGGTACAGATTGGGGTTTTTTCCAGTGAATGGAAATCACTTAATACTATTACACACATGCAAAGTAGGAACCAATTAAGTGCCATTTTCACTATGCAGCTGTCAGTTTACTTGAGCTATCAGTATCAGGATTTTGCTTTTGACAGACATCCTTTATGTCTTTTGAACTGCCACTCTAGATTTAGGAAGTCTTTCTGCACCTCTGAGTTTCAAAGGAGAGCTGTTCTAACCCAGATTGAGCACCTAAATATACGTTTATATATACCACCTGTGAAACAAACAACAAAAAAATAAAATCAACAATTCATTTTTGGATTTTTCCTTAAATATCATAGTCCCCTGGGAGAAAGAAGAGGTTTTAAATGTTCCCTTGGAGTTTCTGCAAGATCAAAAAATATAAACTGCATTAAATTTTAAATGACTGTGTACATACTGTAGGAGAGAAATAACCAACATAATATCATTAAGTCATTTAGACTGAGAACAAGCATTAATATTCCCCATGCTATTACTAATTACACCAGCAGCCTGATGAAGGCCACTAGAAACACACTCTGATGATCTGAAGCTCAGTTCTCAGATCTGTCTGGACTCCCTCTACACTACAAAGCCATTTTGGAAACGTACATATATTTTTCCTGTCATGAGGATGATTAAGGGACTTGAACATCTCTCCTGTGAAGAGAGAGAGAACTGGGGCTGTTCAGCCTTAAAAGGAGACGGCTGAGAGGGGACCTTATTAATGCATACAAATATCTGAGGGGTGGGGGTCAAGAGGAAGGGGACAATCTCTTCTCAGTGGTGCCCAGCAATAGAACAAGAAATAATGGGTTTAAATTAGAACATAGGAAGTTCCACCTCAACACGAAGAAAAATTTCTTTAGTGTGAGGGTGCCGAAGCCCTGGCACAGGCTGCCCAGAGAGGGTGTGGAGCCTCCTTCTCTGGAGACTGTCAAAACTCGCCCGGACGTGTTCCTGTGTGGCTGCCCTAGGGGATCCTGCTCTGGCAGAGGGTTGGACTAGATGATCTTTCGAGGTCCCTTCCAACCCCTGACATTCTATGATTCTACTATATTTTTTTGACCATAAACTCTTGAAGGTAACAAACCCTTGGATGCTGATCAGATAGCAAGCAAAAGAATTAAGATACTCTAACAGAAAGTTACCACTTCTCAGCTGAGACTCTTTCCACGTTCTTGCGCTCACAAATGCGACATAAGCGGTAACAAACACCATTTATATTGAAGTATTTTCTCCATGATTTTGAAAGGCAGAGGATGGACACATGGAGCTGATCTGTCCCAAGTGAACAGTTAGAATTTTAAGCTACACTAGTGCCAACATCTGGTACCCAGTGAACCTGTCTTTGTAATTCTAATTGAAACAAAACTATTAGATACTGTGTAAAGAAGTGATCAATGTATTACAATAAAGCAAGCAATCATAGCACATAAATTAATTTTTAAGGGTAAAATTCCTCTTTCAAGAATTAAAATGCATCTAAATTCTATTCAGACAAGTCCCTAATATTTTTCCATTACTTTTTTCTACCCTTCAATTGGAACAATTCAATTCTCCCCGATTAACACTTTTACTGTTTTTGGGAGATTTAAAACAAGATCTTAAATAACTCTGAGAACACCTCTATGACACTATCAGGATGTTCTTCACAGGTCTGACTGAATGCAGTGATACTGCTTGTATTTTCAGGAAAAAAAAGTGTTGTGGAAAAATAATGCATTCATGTATGGTAGGGACAGGGTGGTAGGATGAAGGGGAAGAGAGAAAACTGCAGAGCTGATGCGGGTGGCATCCGATAATGAAACTTTCATTTAAGCTTATACTTCCTTTATAGTGGTTTTAGGGAGTCTGGTCAAATCTAAACTGGTTGCTTGAAAAGCAGGTTCAACACTGTTAAAAATGCATCTCTGGAGGTCTCATTAATGAAAGAGACAGCCTCTCCATCTCTCACCCAGACACAAAGATTCCTCCCTGGATCAGGCCAACATCAGCTTAGCATCTTGCCTTCAGGTGGTCTTGATTAATTCAATATTTTGTTCTGTATCTTTATAATTAAAAGGGTGAAAACACACACACAAAATAAGCAGCATTTTGTTCACCAGTGTTCATCCTGGATTAAAATTTCTGGTTCATTTTCTCTGCTCTACCCGCCTGCATCTTTGAGCAACAATAACTTCAGGGTGCAGAGTAAACTCGGGCCCCTTCCCCTTCCATTTCAGCTTTCGAGGCAAGTGCAAAAGCTGAAACCAGCAAGAAGGGGAGAGTCGGGGAGTTCTGCAACACAGGTGAGGAAAGCTGAAATTAACTGTAATTTACACTCAAATTTTAAGGGAGAAAAGTAGTGTTGTGGGTCTGCGCCGAAGGGAAGACCCAGAAAAAAAGCTTCCTGATTAAAATCAAAATCTACCTATGAACTTGGTTACCTGTTAAGTTTTCAAACATAATCGGTTGGGTTCACTGGGTTATAAATGTGGTCAGTCAGCCATGACAAGCATGGTGCTGGACAACTGCCATTAAAGTGTCACCTGCCTGTGCAGGTACAACTCTCTTCTAAAGTGTACCAGCTTGCGTTTGTCAGCCATTTATCATCATCACACTGATCATCTGCCAAAAGAGGTATCGAGGCCCCAGTCGCAGCCATGTATTTGGTGTTACATGTTCACTTCACAGCTGAAGTACAGAAATCAGAAAAGTGTTATGAATTTCTAGATTAGTTGAAAACAGACATCCAGTCACCCTGAAGGAGACAAGTTCTTGTTTGGGAGGCAAATGAAGGCACATCAGGTCTACCTCGGTGGCAGGACAAGACTGGGATGACACAAAGAGAGGTTCAGGATGATAAGAAGAGGCGCCGTTTTGCAACTCAAAACCCGAAATGGATAGGTGCTGTGCAGAAGGAAAGCCGGCCAAAAGAAGGATTTCAACAGGGGAGTTTCATGATCAGTAACTGTTACATCCACAAGAGACTTATGTCCAGATAGCACTATTAGCAGGAGTACTCAAAGTAAGGGAACCAAGTCCCGAGCACTAGCAAGTCCAGCAGTGCCTGGCTACTGCAGAAAGGTGATTTGGGGAACAAATGAAATGGGGGGGACAGGTGAAATGAAAGAGGACTGATAAAGGGAAAATGAGTCTAGGAGATGGTCAGAGTCTGAACAGGAGCCGAACTGTTAGAAAGAAGCAGTGAGCATCTGAGACATGAGTCCGGTTTAGAACAGCCCATCACGCAGTACCTGCAAGGCAGCAGAGGCAGGCACAGGTTGCACATCGAGCAGCAGCACTTGCCATCTCCCAGCACACAGCAGAAGCAGACTGGCAGACAGCAGCCTAGCAAGGTTAAACCACGGTTGTATGAACAACCCACAGACAGATCAGGATTTAAGCCACTTCCCTTGGTAACAGAAATAAAGGAACTGCTTTGTTTGTCAGAAGAGGGAGGTGAAGAAATGGAGCTTCCAATGGATCTAAGCTTCCCACGTGGAGTAGTACAGTGAAGTTTGCTACTGAACGTTAAACATGCTGGAGTTGAAAAAAGTTTGACAATTTGACAAGCCTTCAAAATTACAGTATTCTCTATTAACAACCTTTGGCCAAAGACAAACATCGAGAAGGAGAGAGGGGATGCTGAACACAGGAAAGGCAACTTACAGATCCCAGCGTGGTATTTCAAAGTGCTAACGCTGTGTTTGTGAGCCTTGTACGTTTGGATTCGCTCCCCAGTGTCTACTAACCAGCACTTCACTGTCCTGTCCGCGCTTCCTGAGTACAAGTGCCGATTCACTAGCTGAAGGGAAGAGAAAACAACATCAGCAATAGTCTCTCAGGCACATCCTGCACTGAAGTGACTCACCCGAAGTCACGGTTTTCATTTCAACAGCCTGTTACAAAGAGCAACAACGACACCCTGAAACAGAGGGAAGGTGAGCAAAACCAACCTTGCGTTCTTCACAATTCTGTCTCCCATTGACTTCTGGGCCTTAAAAACAGCTCCCACGTTTCAGAGGAGACAAAATTTAGCCCATCTTCTGGTGCAAGCAGGCAGGGTTTCAGTGAGCTTAACAGTGCTAACCCAACTTCCATATTTAACTAAGTTAACACAGCCTCAAAAAGAAAGACCCTGCAGTGTGTTTCTGCAAAGCCTATTTGACATGGACTCCTATTAGATTATTTTAATAACAAAAGTTTCAAAACAATTCTGAGTAACAAAAAAAAATAAATTAAAAATAAAATCTTAGGCAACATAAACCAGAGTTTAACATGATTACTCTGCACAAGGTCAGCATTTGGAAACACTAACTCTCCCTTGAAATGGTCTTATATTGGCTTTTCCACATTTTTTTAGACTGCAGTATCGAATGATTAAAAGATTAACAATCCTTACACACGTTTTTAAACATCTTCAACCAGAGTGTCTTTTGCAGTGTGCTGAAAGCAACTCTGCCTATAAATCCCAAAGAAGAACAGTGCTTTGTACACCAGTTCTCCCGCACATTGTGTGAACTCACTCCCAGTGGAGGTTAGTTTTTATTCCACACAGATATGATAGAGAATGGCAAAAGAAAGGACCACAAATCGAGAAGCCAAGACAAAGAAAAAATCACTGACCTATGCAAGACTATAAAAGCCAGCCAACACACAGTCACAAACTACCCAGAGCCTGGCAGCTCTGTGGGGAAACTATCCACAGCACAGAGAAAAATCTTACATTCTATGTCCATCCCACGAAAACAAACCGAAGGTTTTAACAGTCACTATTATGTACAGCTCAGAGTGCATCCTCCTCCAAGCAGAGGGCTGGCCCAACACTTGCCACCTGAAGGCAGCATAACAAAGGCAGCCAGCCATTGCGCGCTCTCACGGCAATTCGCCGGCTGTAGTTCAAGGTAAGTTTCGTGGATTTGCGGCAATCTCTGTATCAGAAGTACGGAGAGACAGGAGGTAGAACCCTGACATGCCCCTAAAAAAATAATTTGTCCTCTACAAGACAAGAAGGTGCAAATGGCCAGCAGAGCACTAACCCCTTAACGCTTCTCAGCTCTCTCCAGGAAACCAATTGCAGAACAAACAACAAATCAGCTTGACATGGGTCTTGCTCTTAGGTCATTTTCAAGGATCTGGGTCTTCTGCTACCTTAGATTTTTATAAACCTTTGGTGGTCCCCACTCTTTGCACACTCGCTCCGTCTGTCAGGTTGGAATGTTTTTTTACACTCTCTCATCTCCACTCCCAATCCAAAAAGGAATCATCCCATACCCAAAGGCATCGTAAGTAAGCTTAGTGCAAAAAAAAAAAAAGAAATAAAAAAATTATAAATCTGCTGTGGTACAGCAACATGGAACAGAAGGTATTTTAAGATACAAAGCACTACAGTGATGGGACTATGCTGACCCATGTAAGAAATGCATCCAGGCAGGCCAAGACGACCACTGGGCGCAGCCCCCCCGCGCCGAGCTGACGCAGTGCAGCGTGCCACACTTCTACCAGCAGAACTTGGCCCATGGAACAGACTTCACAGCTCAGTGTCAGGGGCTTGTAAAACATACACCCCATCACAAACCAGCAGTATTTTGAAATGTCACATCCTGTTACTTTAAAGCTGCTTTAGTGTTAATACTATATCTCAGCGAGGGACGAGAAGAAACGACCAGCAGCACTAACAAAAAACAAGAGCTAACACGGTATTTCCAAACACAACTCGAATGGGCAGGAAGAGCAATGACACGGTGCACCTGCTAAACGGAAGAGGATGCTTTGAGCTGAGATCCCGCTGCGTTGTTCTTGGCCAAGTTGTTGCATTCCTTTTTCAGACATCTGGCTAGCAGCACCAACCCACCCACTGAGCAAGGGACAACACTACGCTATAACCTCCTGCAGGTAAATGCCACTTGGCGTGGACAGGACGTCACATTATGCTGCTTCATTTCTGCTTTGAAGCGGCTGCGTAAGCGATGATGTGAAACAGAAAAGCTGCAAGTTGCCTAGATTTGCTAATTTGCTAAATATAACAATGTGCTAAACAATATAGGCTTACTCAGGCCATTTATAGCACCAGGATTGAAAGAGCCATAAAAAGCTTCTAAGGCCCAGTCAGAGATGTGTCGAGACAGACAGCGCACCAACCATTTCATTAAATTCGAGGCCTCTGTGCTACCCAAGCAGCCCCGTGACACACTTCCATGTCCCTTCCTGCACCTTCACCAGTTTAAACAGGTGAACACAGAAGGGAAGGATTCTCAGTCTTGCATGGAAACAAAAATACTCACAGGTTAAACAATCTACCATTGCCAGAGACTAAGCCTGCAGCACAGCCAAGAGTGAGACTCGGTGTATGGGCTCTGACTGCCACACAGCCTCTCCTTTCCAGGGTATTTTTAAAACACAGAGCACAAAGTAGCTATTAGAGGAGAATGCCACCAAGAGCTGTCAGCTCAGGTTCAAGCTGCAAATCAGATCTGCCTTTAGTGATATGATGCAGGCATTATCTCATCAAAATTGATGCAGATATCTACAGCTAAGACAGTCCCCTAATAGCCACTGTAGCTGAGGGCACAATTCATCTCACCCTGAAGCAGATGTCTGAAAACAGATAACACCTCAAAACTCACTATTTCTCCTCCCTGACACAAGCAACCTTCTCAGCTGTAGCCATCTGTATCAGTTTAGGTGAGATGACTCCTCCTTCACTTGGCTGAAGACAGGTCTACAGTTTACAACTCCAGCCTAAGCTACAGCACTTCAGATATTTATATTTAATCAAATAATAATAATAATCATCACATACCACTTCCTTAGCAAAAGCACCTTACCAGCAAGCCCCACACTCTGTGTAATACAAAATAAATACCTTCCCTATTTATAAGATGCAGAATCATGATATAATGCAACTGAAGTCCACCCAAAATCTAAACTTGAAATTTATACCATCCTAACTTTTCACTGGCCAAATCTCAGAGTGCAGCTCTGATTTGAGAGCCTGATCTAGGAGCAACCATCCCTTTCTACAGCACACAGGAAGCATTACATGCTTCAGGGCAGTTGTGACAAGCACAGTATCCCTGAAACCGGTCAAGAGAGTATATGAAAACCAGATGAGACTCTGAGAAGAGTAAGACAGAAGCCCCAACTCATGCTGAATCATTATTTTTCCTTCAGAGCCTTCTTTCAGAGTTTGCACCCAAAGGGTGGGGCAATGGCCCAATAAGGCAGACACAGCAGCCTTGGCTCCGCTCGCCAAGGTCAGACACTCGTGCAAGTGCCCTCCTGCTGGCTGGGCACAAGCCACCTTTGCTGTGGAAGCGGTGGAGGTCCGAGGGTCAGCCAGCAGCACAGGGCCTTGGCTCCTGAAATCATTTTTTGTTGTCATGACTGTATGGAAACCTATCTAAAAAGCTCAAGAAAGAGAGACTGTAACATAGGTCCCTTCCTCAATGCCAGACAGGTCCCCAAAGCACTGATTTCCAGTTAGGTGACCTTCTCCTGGCTCTCCCTCAAGGACTCTTGCTAACCTCCTTACACCAGCCTGACTTCTCCTAGCCAGCACTTATGGGACTCTCCAGAAGGGTTCAAATCTCAGCCTGCAGAGGCCATTTAATTCAGATCCATCAGTTCTGTGAGACTACTGGATAAAACAATATGTTGCTGTTCCTTGGGTTAAACATCCCCACTGGCACATTAGGCTCAACAAATCTGTCCCTTCTCGGCAGCTGGGCAAAGTGTACCGACTTCTTCACTAAAATGTGAGATCACGTTACAGCTTTGGTAGGAGCTAAACTTCCCCACTGCCCAGATCCCGGGGGGGGGGGGGGGGGAATCAAGGCACAGTCATTTTCAGCAAATACAGACCTGGAGACCTAGCTCACAAGTAAGTCCTGGGCTCTTCTAGCCCAAAGACTCTAAACTTTTACCCAGTTTCCCAGATCCCAGTCATATTCTTATTAAACTATTCAATTGTTTTATGATGTAGAAGGAAAAATGTAAAATTTCACTCAATGGATTTTCCCAGATAAACCCAAGTCTGTCAACTCTTGGTTTAAAAATTATCAGTAGAAACAGTTATATATTCTAATCTGCAACTGCCTGCAGAAGTGGTGATATTTTCAAAGCTATATTTTCCTTGGCTGGCTTTTGAGCACTTTGTTCGTTTTGGCAAACTGCCCAACAACGCTCCTGCCCAGGAAAAGCATGGCGAGGCAAAGACACCTGTAGCAGAACACCTAACACAGAAGAGATACTAAAGAGCTGAGTGGCCATTTCGAACCCAAGCAGCTTGAAAATTATTAAAATCCTGGCAGCAGGTCAGATGCCCCGGTCTAAAGCCTCAGTTAGCAAAAAAATCACTGCACTGAGATCTGTAATTCTAGACTGTTAACTTTTCTCATTGCTCTGAGGGACTTTGCTTTGAACCAGATGAAACACTGACAAACAAGAATGAAGGAAATTTGTCTTAATACTCAGGCCGAAGTACTGGAGATGTACTATTCCATGAAAAACTTCAGTCAGACCTGCTTGCTAGTAGCAAAGTAACAGCAGTAGCAAAATATGAGTTGTAAATGCTGAAGTAGTTACAGGTTTCACTACTTAAAAATTCCAGTTTTATGCAACCATGGCCTTGGTTGCAGTGCCCAGACACATCACAGTTCAAATAAATAATAAAATAAAAAAAAAAAAAAAGATCACATCCAGGTTGGTCTCCCAAGACAATCATAACCCTATTGCTCCACAAGCTTGGCTGAACTGCACATATGCAGCAGCTTAAGACAATTTCTACCTGTATGAATGCCAAAAATACCAGCAAAAGAGCTGTTTAGCAGGCATTTTAACCTTATTATAGGAATGGACTTTGCCCTTCCAATTAACCTTTGCTATAAGAAACAATTTAAGCCTCATCCAAGCAGAGGCAACCAGCTCTTCAAACACATTTGGACACATCCTCTTTCTGAAGGTCATTGCACTGGCGCTGGCTCCCAGGAACTTCCTGATGAGTTCACATCTGCAAGGACATGCCCCATCACCAGCTTATTCTTCACTCCAGAGTCAGTTTTCCTACAGTCTTTAACCTTTGCTATAAGAAACAATTTAAGCCTCATCCAAGCAGAGGCAACCAGCTCTTCAAACACATTTGGACACATCCTCTTTCTGAAGGTCATTGCACTGGCGCTGGCTCCCAGGAACTTCCTGATGAGTTCACATCTGCAAGGACATGCCCCATCACCAGCTTATTCTTCACTCCAGAGTCAGTTTTCCTACAGTCTGCCGGCTGGGTCTTCTGTCCACGGCCACTTTGATGTTAAAAATCACCAACTTAGACCATTCTCAAGTTACAACTATGTAAGCCTTCGGCCGAGTTAAAACTTTCAGGATCCCATTCAAACCACGCTCATTTTAATGAGCTAATGATCTCCCTCTGGGTAAGAAAATCATTGGGTTTTTTTTTCCCTGCACATCCATCTAGAATGAGCTCTCTGGTTCGACTGTTGGGGAACATTTTTCAACTTTTTTAGTGCAGAGCAAAGTAATGGGCCTAGAAACATGTTTCTTTTCCACAGGTGCTCTACACATTCATATTCTTCTAATTCACATCTTCATCCTCTGATGAATTATGCAAATACAAATGACAAAAATAAATATGTACACTTTATTTAATTGGTGTGACAAGAAGAAAAATCTGTTCCCATGTTCACAATTAAATGTAAAAACGGAGTTCAGGCAATGGCTTTGTTCAAAGCATTCTTTTCTTCTAGTCAGCTTTAAAAGGCAACTAAAGGGAACAGTCCAAACAAAGGATCTTTTGCAGGAAAACAGAAGCAAGTCCTTGCCCACTCATGTTCATTTAAAGCTGCTTTTGCAAGAAAGGAGTTTTCTTGCGGGAATGTTTGCTATAGGATCCAAGCTAAATTCTAAGCTGGATCATTTCTCTCTGCCAGCTTTTGGCAGCACAATTATGATAAATACTCAGAGGCAAAACAATCAGCAAAGGACAATGCAATCCTTGTGAACAGTTTGCAAAGCTATTTTGGAGACATTTAGAAAAACATACACAAGTAAATATTTACATCAGGGTTATTCAGCCTATTGCAAGCAGTCATGTTAATGAAAACACTTGTTTGATTATTAATTGCAAATACTGGTCTTTAGCCAGGCCTGAAATTTTTAAGTGGAAGAACTAGCACAAGCTGTGTGATTACACTCAGCCCACCCTTGCATTTTCCCCATCGCTTCCTATAAAATCTCATCCTTGGCTCTTATATGAAGAGGGAGCACTCAAAACAGCTGCTGTCCCTTGCCTGCCAAGCTATCAGTGCTCTGCAGGAGAAAGTGAAGAGCTCTGGCTGCTCCTCTGCTTGTTACCGTGCCTGACTGTAAGAGTGAACGAGCCAACACACCTAGCAGGCACATGGTTCCCACTGCAGGCAGAAGATCTCCTCGCCAAACCGTTGCCAGCGTAATTTAGATGGTGGAAGGAAGAGAAGAGCAGCGTTAGAACAAGCTGGTACCTGGAACAGGACACCTGCAGGCAGTTCAGCTGGTCACTCGCCTTCACCAGACTGACCCTGGCGGTTGCAGGACACCCTTGGGTTATACCTAAAGAGCTCACCCTCTTCACTCTCCAGGACCACCAAGGACAGGAGAACAGGGAAAGCTACAAGCCCACCAACACTTTCCATTCTGCCACATAAGACTGGAGTTGCTTTCAGGCTCCTCTAATTTCGGCCAGCTGGCAGCAACACCTAAAGGATCTCAGAGAAAGTGAGAACATTCAGGATCTGAACGTGCCTGTGGCGTCATCCTGTTGCTTTCCACAAGACAGCAGTGCAGGAAGCAAGGTGGAAAAACATGGGTGCGCTTTATGGATATCTACCCAGAAGCACTCCTCCAAGAAGCTCCAGGAATTTCCATTCACCGCCACAGTGACACTATTGGTATTTACTGGAAAGCAATGGGAGACAACTGGAACAGTCTAGACCTAATTCACAACAGTTTAGAACATCCTGAGGCACTCCCATTAATAACAGTACTCTTTAAAGTTGGGGAAAATATGGTCTCAATATCCAATTTTTTCCTGATCTGCATCCAGGAGAAGAGATCACACTGAGCTTTTCTCAAACTTTGTGAAAGGTCACCCTCCCTTAGGGATCTTTATTTGAATAAACAAAATTAAAATAAGGCTTTATTTTTTTCCTTTATTCTCTCCGCACAAGCATTATACCAGCCAGAGAACAGGTAACTAACTGCCTTTAATTGCTGGTACCAACTCAGCTCCTCCAGGACAGGGGAGTGAAAATCTGGTGTAATTAACAGCTCACTTTTGCCCTGAAGAAAATGAACTATTGTCAACAATTACAACTGTCTGCTGGCTACTGCGAGCAACTCACAACTACCTCCAAGTTCCTCCTGACCCATGGTTTGAAAAACACTATCCCAACTCACTGCCCCAGATTGCAACACCATTACTAAGAAGCCCTAAGGACAAAGGCTCCACAAGCTTTTTTGAGAAGAAAATAAACACTTTTTTAAAAAAAAATAAACACCTCTATTCAAGAAGTTTCCCTTCTGTTGTAACATCTTTGTATGGATTCTGGTGATTGACCCCTTTCTAAAAGCATGAAAATACCATGTGGGCTGTGCTGAGAGGCCGCCAAGTGGAACAGAAGGGCTAGTGTTGAACCCAGGAAAGAAGAGGAAGGAATTAGGAAAGATCGACAGCTTCAAGCTATTCAAGAGCAGTACAGTGACTGCTTAAGCTGGGATCAATTTTAGAGGCCTAGAAACTAAATGCTCTCTGTGGGGGCAGTATGTACCTCAGCTGGACTCTTCTAGCCTCAAACACCAACTCGTGATGAGAGAAATGAGAGGCTACCAGTTACTCACAGCTAGAAGAAGATTTGGCCAGGACCGCTGCCAGCACAGTCTTGGCAGCAGCCGTCTTGTGTACTTTGAATTGTTCAGGTTTTCCAAATAGATGTATTGGTTTTGCTTTTCTTCTCCCCTACAAGAAGTTCTGTTTGTTTAAAAGCATTGTTTAACTCTGTGCTCACAAGCAGAGAAGTATTGCTCATTCTTGAGCATTCAAAGAGCGTAATTCAATTTCCCAGGCTTCTGGGAGAGGGTCAAGCCAGTTTTGTGTAACAATTTTAGCAAGAACCCAATTAAATTAAAGCAAGCTCTGTCCTTGCCAATCTGTGCCTTGGAGAAGAGTTACAACCGAACAGCAAAACATAGCGTGACACTAAGAACAGCAACAGATTTACTTGCACACCCTCAAAATACATTACCACAATATCATAAAAACAAGCTTTAACACTGAGAATTTACCCAAGCAAGACAAACATTACTCCAGGGCAACACGATTTTGTGTGTTTGTTTTTTTCTTTCTAAAACTGAAGGAAAATAGAATTCCTTCAGTACTACCAGGTTTTTAGTCTGCTACTGTTAGCTGTGACTACCCTCAGTAGAAACAAAGGCAACATTAAATAAAGAGCTATTAAAAATACATACTGTGGCCTCTGTAAAGGAAAAGAACATATGGACAACAAATACAAACACGGAGAGTAGTGAGAAAAAAATACTGCCATTAACTTCAGTCAGACACATAACATCTATAAACACTTCAGTTTTGCCAACAGAGTTACAGACCATCATGCACCTTCTTTAAATATACTGTTCGCATTTTCTGGTGGATAATGTAGTGTACAGGACAAGTGCTTGTGTGATAGTTCCCCTTTTCCTTCATCTAACCTCCTCCTTTCCTCTGCAACAGTAACAAACCTGGCAGCAGTCACTAGAAAAATACTGCAAACAGAAAAACAGGGTATAGTTTTTCAGGTCACATTCAATTTTTTTTCCCCTCTCCCTTCATCATTTCCTGATTTCTCTCCCTCATGCTCTACTTCTCTTTTCCATTTTCCTTGCCCATTTTCTTGTTTTGGCCATCTCTCTCTCCCTTTCTTTTCTCAAATTATGTCTGTGTGGCTTTTAGAGAGAGATTTCTTTCAGCTCTATGCTTTCCTATTATCTGTTGCCCACAATTCTGGGTTGGGGTTTCGGTGGGTTGTTTTTTAAGTTACCTGGCTTACTCCAGGTTTTTTTTTTTCCTCACTCCTTTTCAAATTACCTGACCTGCGTCTGTTCACTTGCTCAGGGTATTTTCCTTCAGATTCTGGTGATCCTCTGCATACAATCCTACTGAGATGAACAGTCCTCCCAGTAAACATATTCACGAGTTTCAAGACCTAAGAGGATTTAAATAGATGCTGAGCTGGAAGTCAAAACCAGGATAGCCACTAGAAGCCAAGAGAATATCACAAAGTGGTTTGGGGGTAATGATTTGTCTCAAGAGCACTATAATTTTGTTATTGCATTCATGTTCAAGCTTACCACTTACAACCTGCCTCGGAAGAGCTTCTTTATGAACAAAAAGACAACCGAGACCCACACGAGTCAGGATGTGGATACCCCCTTCCAACAGCTCTTAGGGAAGCCTCTGTTCTTACCTCTAGGCAAATCACTGATCCTTGATGCTCTTTGAACACTTTCAGCTGCTCACCAGTGACAATATTCCACGTTCGAATGGTATAATCCGTGCTGCCAGAAAACAGCTCCCTGTTTGGTGCGTCAAGTATAAGGCATAAGACAGCCCCAGTGTGTCCCAGCAGAGTCTGGTAACAGCGCCCGCTGGACACCCACCAGACCTTAACAGTACAGTCTGTGCTACCCGTCACCAGGAGGTCTCTGCTCACTTTCTCCTCCTCCTCCTCTTCCTCCTCCTCTTCTTCAAGAACATCCCTGGAGGAATAGTGAGCTAGAGTCAGGACACAGTTCCGATGGCCTCGGAATTCCTGGATTTGTTTCTCCTTGTCCACACTCCAACAGCGGGCCGTCCTGTCGTAGGAGCCACTGAAGAGATAGTCTTTGGCAACCAGGATCCTGCGAACAATCAAGGTAGCTTGTATCAACAGTACCGTTCTCGTCACATAACCATTTTTTGCCACCATTTCAATGCCAAGCACCTCGGAGTTAGAAACAGTACCATGGACACAACATGTAAAATCCCAGTTCAGCATCACCGTTTAATACACATTATTTATGAACTTTTTTGCTGAGAGTTTAAAAAAAAAGAACAAAACAAAAAAATCCCCTCACCAACTTCCCTGTTTCTACTTCTAAAATTGAGCCCCCTTATTCAGGTACATTAATGTAGACATTTTACACTACAGCGTCCTAACTCTGGGCATTTGTGTTTTTCTAAAATCTTTTCCAGCAGCATTGTTACATACTTTTCACAAGTTACATAAACTAGCTAAGACTTTGTTGTGGGTTGGCTTGAATGTTTTCAAGAACTCATTGATATTTATTGAATAGTATTCACTCACAAACAATTAGTTATGAACCAACTTCTGAAAATAGCTTGGAATTAAAAAAAACAAAAACAAACCCAAATGAAAAAATACATTCCAGGAATCTGAACTGTAACTGACAGTGTGCAAAGATGATCATCTTTCCATCATCAAATAGAGAGACTACAGGAAAAAAAAAAAATCATACACCTAATTTCACTAAGCCCAGGATCTCAAAGGTAGAGCAAGAGCACCCAAGAACAAGGGAAGAACACTACAGTTCATATTTCCAAACCAAAGATACGGAACATCATAACCTGTCTTCTTTTTGGTCCTCTGGAACCTTTCAAACTGGCAACAAAGTCCCATGAATAGGGAACACATTTCCTGTTTGCTGATTCAAGCAAAAATCAGGCAAGTGCCAAAATACAGACAGAGACAGCCTTCCTAACTATTTACAGAACGTAGCTGCACATCGTATGTGTTTTTAGTTTAGTAAGGAACAAAAAAACCCCACTCACCCACTGAAAATGAAATGGGAAAAAAACCAAAAACCAATCTTTGACTGCTTTATTTGTCATTAGTTAAATCCAATCCAACTACTAAGAGGCATTTCAAATTGACAGGCCAATCAGTCACGCACGATCAGTTTAATATTAAACATCATTTGCACAAACAGGAATAGTAATTCCAGAAAAAGTCCTGACTTTATCCCTCTTACTGACACAAAGGCTTGACGTGATGTTTTTAAATCTACTTATCGGAAGCATATGTTATCAATTGACTAATTTCCTCTGGAATTTCACTCCTAGCCCTGGATTCAACTCCCCTGCTGTGTGCCTTTCATTTTTCTCCTCTCTGCTGTCTGAGGATGTGTCAGCGCCGTTGCCAGGAAAACCAATCGCTACAGCACACTTGTAGCACGAACTCAAAGGCTGGCACAACCTATTTTATCCATGTAGTGACGGGGAACTGCAGGAAAATGACAATACATGTGGTAACAGATGACAGGAACCAACCTGTTAACGATTGACGTGTGTCCTCGGTAAATGGCCAGGCACTGCCCTGTCACCACGTCCCACTTGCGAATGGTATGGTCGGCGCTACAGGTGAAGGCAGCCTCGTTTTCCAAGTGGCAAAAGGTGATGTAACTTTCGTGTCCTGAGAATAACAGGGGAAATAAATGCAAATCACCGGGCGAGCAACGAGGACAGGCTAGGGGAACTTTTCACTTTAACTAAAAGAAAACTACAACAAACAAACGGATTGAAACTCTAAGTTTTAAACGCACCGTTGTGTTTAAGGATTTGTACAAAACACAACAGTTTTCATCAACAGCGTGAAAATATGTTTCATCGATACAAGGATTAAGTGAAAAAGTAGAACAGCACAATTCCACCAATCAGGTAGATATATTATAAAAATATAATGACCTGAAATAATAACCAGTATAATAAAACTCAGACTGCTATAGTTTAAAACCAGTTAAAAACTCGCTTATTTTCTTAATAAAGAAATATTTTTGCTTCCTTCTTCTGAATTCAGGAAAAAAGGCTGCATTTTGACCTTGCTCATTTATTGTTAGGATACAACCAGCCCTAAATTAAAGCATGAAACTATGAAAAAAGGAAGTGACATGACATTTACCAGCACATTTAGTTTCATTGTCCAAGCAGAGTGAAACACAAACAAAACAAAAAGAAAGAATCTATCTCATAAAAAGTCAGCTAATACTTTCCCCGTTATGGCTAGTTCCACGAATAAAAACCACAATTTTCAAAATATCCATATACCTTTAAGGAAATGACACAGAAAGGAAGAATAAGAGCACAATTATTTTTACAGCATTCAAGAGTATGTTGGTATTCTACAGCTGCAATAAAAATAGACACAACTGCTACTCTAAAAATTCCACACTGAAAAGCAGCCAAGAGGAATCACTATTACAACCTTAAGCTTTTATTGTTGCTTAGGCAAGATGTGTCATTTTTCTATTATATCTTTAAATGCACATTTTAAATCCACCTCAGTGGGGTTTTTTTCACATTCAAGTCCCAGCTTTGTCCAAAATCTCTTGTGTGAAAGTGCTGTCATCTATCTAATAGTTGGGAGAGTATAATCTTTCACTTTTCTGTTTTATCAGCATTCAAGGTCAGGACTGTTTCCTCATAAGTAACTATTACAAGAGAGCCCCAGACTTCGGTTGAAGCTGGTAAGTGCTGCTACAGTTTAAGTAACAGTATTCTTTAAGGCGAAAAGAAAAAAAATATAAGAATGACAAATGTAGTTGAAGAGACACAGGTGGACAAAGATATTAAAGAAAGGTAATTGTGCTGTAGAATAAAGAGATGGTAAAAAAAAATGGAAGGGAAGAGACTGCTCCGTAAAACACTTTCACTGATTGCAAAAACTGGATTTTACTACAAGTCCTGTAGTTCAAAAGCAAACCAGAACACTACACTACACTACAAACACACACCACACTACAAACACACACCTTATTTCCTCTTAAGCAAATTCACCAGATGCCAAAAATTAAACAGATCACCTGGGCTATAGCAGAACTATGCTCATCCTCGCTTTCTTGAGAAAACTTTTTGCAAAACACTTTAAATGGGACAGGCTTCAACCACTGGGATTTTTCTCACAGCCTCATGCAATCCTGCTCTGACAAGATTAGAAAAGCATCTCGGTTACTGCACCGAAGTCTGTCAGTCACATTTTACGCTTCAGTAACAGTGAGCCACACAAAAGATGCCAAAACCCCCTATGGCAGACAAGGTCTGGTGCTGATCTGTCAAAACATCCAGCACAGAAGTCTGTTGGTTATGCCGTGGTGGACGATTGAAACTGTTACAGACACGAGTTCATCAGGAATTACAGCTTGTACCATACAAATATACACAACTGTGTGCGTGCACAAACAGAAAATACAATTATCTAATTCAACTGGCAGCTCACAAACCATGTAAGCCAACCTTCCTTAGAGTCCGCTCCAAATACAAGTGGTACGTAGGCCACATTCTGAACAGCACCCAATACATTTCTCTTTCTAGTTAGAAGTTAACTAGTGGTTTAAAGGGATTTCCAAGCCTAAAAGCAAATGCAGCGAGTTTTCCAGGAGCTAGAACCATGGTAGGATGTGGGGGGATAAAGACAATATAGTTAAAAACAACCAAGCAAACAAACAAAAACAACAAAAAAATCCCAATGTGATTTCTTCTTTGGAAGAAAAAAGGATTAGAAATTCCAAATTTAAGCGCTTTTTTTCCTGTGTTAAGATAAAAGAACATGAGTGAGAATACAAACAACTTCAGTCCATATCTGACTCCTGCATGATTGTACTTTCTACAGTTTTTCTTTTTAATTACCAAGATGCTAGTCTAAGAAGAATAAATTTCAAGCCCAGCAATTAGCATTTCTGTGTGTCAAATGTGGGGGGGCAAAAAACAGCCTATTGAGTAAGGTTTCTTTCCAGGCTTCTGGATCAAGAGGTTCTAAATTAAAATTGTCTGGAAAATTAAATGATTAAAGTTATACCAAAAAAAAAAAAAAAAGGAAAGAAAGAAGAGAGAGATAATAACAAAAATGTCACTATTTCATCAGGGTGTAAAACAGAAACTTCCAGAAAGAGATATAAAGTTAAATGACTGCTGCATTCCACAGCCTGAGCTAAAGGATCCATGCATTCAGTAGTGCTGGTAACCTGTGTTGGGTTGAAACAGCTTCTGCCTAACATTACTGTAACAATCACTGGGGAAAAACCCACAAAACAAAAAACCAGCATGATTTTGGCTGCCAGGCAGGCTGCAGGGACCGAAAGCAAGGAGAACACGCTGTGTGGCTTCGAGACGCACGAACTGGGCGCAGAGAAGGCACGGTACCTTGGAAGTGGCCGTGGCACTGGCTGTCGGCCGTGCTCCAGAGCCGCGCGGTGCCATCCTCGCTGCCCGTGAGCAGGCGCTGCCCGTCCGGGCTCAGGCTCAGCCAGTTGATGCCTCCCTGGTGATCCGTGCAGACCTTCA